TTTGATACAATTCATCAAAAGGATTAATCTTTTAGAATGATGTCAAAAATACTGAACTTCTGACCGAAAGGAAGGCATATGAGAAGGAAAACCATAGGAAAGAAAAAAGAAGGAAAACCCCCAACCAATGAACAGATCCCAAATTTCAAAGCTTTGAAAGCTAATTATCACAACTTCATCCAGGATAGGGCACTACGTACCCTCTTGCTTTATTTCACTGATGCCAGGAGACTTTTAGTCCAGAGGATGTACCAAAAGTGATGCCTCATTTACTGGAAACCTGCCAGGAAAGAAACCAAAAAACTCCATACATACATCTATCGCAGGTCGTGGTGAGCACAAAACAAGAAAAGCAAGCCAAGAAACCTTCACGTTTTGCAGGAATGGAGCTTCCATTTGCTTACACAAGCTAAACATGTCATTCAAAAGCATTTTCTCATGGGAAAAAGAAAGTAATCAGGAACTGAAATAAAATGGTTGGAGCTGATTATTTTGCCCACTTGAGATGCTTTCAGAGATTTGTTTGGGGCAGAGGAGCCTGACAAAACCACACCATTTTGAAACAGAGGTTGATTTCTTATACATTCAACAATAAATAAACCACATTCATGTTATATGATTCTGTGGCATTATTTGAAGTCTATCATAAAAAATCCGCCATCGATTTTTTTCTGAAGAATAAACAAGCTTGGTATAAGCGTGGCTGTATTCAGACTCATCGTGGGCATGTTTCTCCATCTTAAATTTACATACCCTGGTATCTTCAAATCCAGCTCTAAATCCACTTTGACAGCTCCACCTAGATGAATAGATAAGATACACCAACCTCTCCTACTTGAATTAATGGAGGATATATTAAATAGCATCTCCTTCATAATGTGCATGCCATAACTACATACTTTATCCAAACCAACTCCATTTAAAAAGAACAAACAATCCCGAGGGACTAGGGAGGGCAAGAACTATCTCTGATGCTAACCAACAGCTTTAAATATTGTCTTCAAGTGTAGCTGGCATTAAACATATTTAAAAGTTCAGTGGGGTAGGAACAACTATATTTGGGTTGCAGAAAGATCAGAGGAATGCAAGAGAAGCACTGGTGTTCCAAGTCTCTTGTAAGGATGTTGAGCTTGACAGGGCTTTTAAGGAAAGCACAGTTTTAGGAGAGATGCTGGTAGATGGCTCTGTCATGATTACCCATACTAACTAAAGGACTCCACTTGTTCATTAGCAGTATGGCTTTTCTACTGCTTGGAGCTGTGGTGTTGGGAATCTTTCATCACAGACAAAACCCCACTTTTGGTTGGTTTTAGGGGTTTCGTTGCTGGGCTTTTTTGTTTGGGTTGTTGTTTTTTTGGGGGGGAGAGTGTTTTTTGGGGTTATTTTTTAAGTTAAATGAAATCTTATTTTAGCATACCTGTGCAAATAAAGAAGTGATAATTTTCTGTTGCTGTCTTGAAAAGCACATGAAAGAAATGGCAGTGACTTACACACTCGGGTAACTAAAGCTTTGCATGGAAATGAGGGACTGTGGGAAGAAGGGTGTATCACACAGTATCACAGTATGTTAGAGATTGGAAGGGACCTCAAAAGATCATCTAGTCCAATCCCCCTGCCGGAGCCGGAACACCTAGATAATGTTACACAGGAATGTGTCCAGGCGGGTTTTGAATGTCTCCAGGGAAGGAGACTCCACAACCTCCCTGGGCAGCCTGTTCCAGTGTTCCGTCACCCTCACTGAGAAGAAGTTTCTTCTCAAGTTTAAGTGGAACCTCTTGTGTTCCAGTTTGTACCCGTTACCCCTTGTCCTATCATTGTTTGCCACTGAGTAGAGCCTGGCTCCATCCTCGTGACACTCCCCCTTTATATATTTATATACACTAATAAGGTCACCCCTCAGTCTCCTCTAGAGACCCAGCTCCTTCAGTCTTTCCTCATAAGGGAGATGCTCCACTCCCTTAATCATCTTTGTTGGGTTTTTTTTTTTGGTTTGGCTGGTTTTGGCTGGGTTTTTTTGGGGGGAGGGGCAGACTTGGCTGAAATCTTAAATCTTAAACAACATGAAAGTTCGGAAGTGTCTGCCTGCAAGGACTGCTGTTCTCTCACAATGTCATCTGCAAGAATTGTGGTGGTGCAGTTAAGTGCTGTAAAAAAAGGTTTTGGCTTTATAATTAAGAGATGAGAAAGATGTCTCTATTGTATTGACCTTAATTATACTAAACTTCCCCACATTCAAATCCATTTTGCCCTATTTTCATAGGTGTCTGGAAAAAGAGAAGGCACTCTGTAAACATGTCATCATCTAGGATCATAAGGATATAAAGGATGTAAAATTGAGTCTGAAGACCACTTACATCTGATGGTTCTGCTTTCTTATGCATATGGCTTCGTCTGGTCAACTGCCTATCTTCCTGAACTTAGAGGTAAGATTAAAAGAATAGTCATCACTAATTTATGAGGTCCTGGAAACCACAGCAGAAGTTAAATGCAGTAACAGAAAACAAAGAAAAAAGAAGACTGACAAACATGACGCCATACAAGAGCTCAGATTCAACAGAAGTTTATACTTCTGTTTGCTTCCTCTAGAGTTACAAAAGCAATTAACGTTTTTAAGTACACAATTTAAAAAACAGTGTTATGCGACTGACATGTTTTCAGTCCATTTCATAAATGGCTTTAGCAAGATCAAATACAATTCCTACAATTACAGCAGTTCAATGTTTATATGAATATATTTATATTAAAAAGTTTGTAAAGTTCTGCTCTCCACTTCCTTCCACATATTTAAGTGACATTCATGAGATGTGTTGTACTCAGACACACACACCTGTTTTAGGATTCAAGACATAATCTTCTAAGGGACTTTTACAGGGATCACCATTTTAGATCTGTGGCATTTTCTTAACAGGAATGAAGATGCAGATTCTCACTGGAAAGACAGCCCCATTTCCAAATTAGCCCAATAGATTATAATCTAACAAGAGGCAACGTGATCTATACCACACACTTTGTTACATAAAATCTAATGAGGTGCTAAAACAATAGTGAAAAATTATGTTTGGCTAGAGGCAAAAGTTCAGCCCTCTTTTCTTCCACTTCTTTGATTTAATGAAGAGACACACAACTAACTTCTTTGGCAGGCCAGCAGGCTATCTTTGCTTAATAATACCATTAGGAAATCCACAAGATTTCAGCTTCTAATATTAAGGATCTTCAACATAACCTTTCTAAGAGTGAACCTCAAGATTATTTTCCTTTTCAAAAGATGCATTTTCTCTGCTGCATAACAATACACAAACTCGCAACATGAAGTCCAAACTGGGCACTTACCTCTCACAGCAAAACTTAGTACTTATGTAGCACTCTGCTAACAAAATGTTATTCAGAGCAACCCCGAGTTCACAAGTAACAGAAAACTGCCCTCCCCATGTGCCTGCTTCCTGCTTGCCACATACATCCATTTGAATTCACTCAAAAGGCGCAACAGTTCTTCATCATCTTACAGGTCAGAGTTGTGAAAATGCAGCAAAATTCTAATTTCATATTCACAACAGGGAACAAAGAATCTAAAGGCCACATTGGGTCATATTCATCCTTCTTCACACTTCGTTATATTCCTCTTTTTGGCTAGTTCAACAGTCTTTCTAGATCTAGCAATCCACAACAAAGCAACATGCAGAGCAGCATTTGAAAGATGGCTGGCTTGTGTCTTGGAATCCACTTTTTTAACACTTAAAGAGACTACTGCCATAATCCAAATAGTTTCCTCCCCTGCTTTATGCAGTATAAAATATAGCAGAAAATACAATTATCAGCTTCCTGCAAATAGCTGACATTTTGGTTAAGGGCAGGGGTGGGGGGCAACCAGAAATCTGTATGTGCCCTTACTGGACATTAACATGCTCAGTCTAAAACTGCAGATTCCCACACACCTGCTTAACAGCCTAAGTGACTGTAGTAACAGATTCCCTGAGCCAGAGAGGAGCTACACATGAACACAGAGCCCTAAAATATCAGCCTGGACATCAATTTGAATGGGACAGGCTCAGAACTGGATCACTCCCAACAGCTCTTCTTCTTCTCCAATGTGCATAAAGTCTTTAATACACCTAATTCTTGTAGTCAGACTGGAAGTTCTACTGTGTCCTTGGGTCAGCTATAGCAATCAGTTTTCTCCTTCTTGGTAGGTGGTAAAGTGCTGTTTTCAATTTAGCCTGAAAAGAATGCTGATAACACACCAATGTTTTAAGTTGTTAAGTAATACTTACCCTGATCAAGGACTTTTCAGTCTCATGCTCTGCCAGGGCAGAGGGGCACAAGAAGCTGGGAGGAAGCAGAGACAGGGCACCTGACCCAAACTAGCCAAAGAGGTATTCCATTTAATAGCATGTCATGCCCAGTACAGAAACTGGGGGGAGTCACCTGGGTGGTGAGCAGTTGTATTCTCTTCCCTTGTTATTTCCCTTATTATTATTATTGGTGGTAGCGGTATTAGGTTTGTGTTATACCTTAGCTACTGGACTGTCCTTATCTCAACCCGTGGGAGTTACAATCTTTTGATTCTCCTCCCCATCCCTCTGGGAGCCAGGGAAGAAGGTGGTGAGGAGTGAGCGAGCAGCTATATGGTTCTGAGTTACTGGCTGGGCTTAAAACAGGACGTACTGAAACATTAGCAAATGCATCACTACTCCACAGCTTTGGTGCTACTGTATGCTTCACAAGAGAAAAACCTGATGGTTCAAACTCTATCAAGCAGAGATCATAAACTAAACAAAGCCACAGTCTCACACACTGTTAGCAGGTGTTTCCACCTCTAGACTACAGTAGCACTTAGTCAGCTCCCAGTCTTTCTCCTTCTGATCTTGCTTCAACCTCAGAAGACAGTAGGAACCTTCAGGAAATGACTGCAGGATAAGAAACACTGTAAAAGAAGTACCTCCAAATACAGACAGGGTAAGATGATTAGGAGCAAAGCAGTATGGAATCTAAGACAGAGCCTCGCCATCTGCACTCCATGTTTACTTGTAAAGGCAGTTCTGTGATCAACATATTTACTTCACACTTGGCATGTCCGTTTCTGTGGTCCTTCGCAGGCACTGAATGTATCTAACACATGATGCAAAGCCCTTGTGTTTTGGATTCCAGTACTGGGTTTGACATAAAATTGTAGGGAGTGTGACTCACAGCAGTGCTGTGAAGTCAGCCTTGGATCATAGCCTTCTATCACAGCCTCCAGAAAAAACTAAAGATGTGGCTGCTACAGGCATACTAGTAGATTACATGATCTGAAATGACTGGTATTTCATAGCCTCAAAGACTCCCCTGCAGCCTACAAATGAACATAGCATGAAAAATACTGCACAAAATAAGAAAAAGTTATGCTGGTGATTGTGTTCATGGAAAACCAATTTGCGCATCAAAGTGAAAAGGTATCTTCTGTTTGAAGTCTCCCTTATTACTGGACCATCTTGTACACAGGGTCTCCAACTTGAATCGTTCCAGTTTTGTCAACAGCAAAGTATCTCCCAAAGAGAGGGCTGGATTTGTAGATGTGTCGCTCAGATGGATCACATAAGCGGTAACTGCGGAGAGACAGCACTTCTTTAGAATCAAAGAAGTCTGAACTTCAAAATTCCGGTGATGAGAGAGAAGACATATGAACAGTGATGCCCTGTTTTGGTCACCATACTAGACTAAAACTAAGTAAGTATTATGATTAAAGAGAACCAAGAAGTTCAAGTGGAACAAAAAAGAAGCCTGTCTTCACACATCCATATGTAACACACATACAAAAGGCTTTATAAAAGAGATGCCAGTGTTGCAAAGTTAGATCCTTAAGTAACTTAAATACCTGTTACCCCCGTGTTTACCATAGCACAGATGAAAGAGACAGGGAATGTAAAGTTTGCAAGAAAGAAGAGAGAACTTCCTGAATTTTCTTACCATAAAGAACTGCAGAAAGCAGAATGGAAGCCAATACACACATACCTTTACGCTGCAGTATTATGTCCCACGCATACTTTTAAAACACTAGTCTAACATCTGTTGCAATCTAGCTTAAATCTACTCCCACAGCTTAAGAAGTATTTTTACAACCTTTTCAATGTTTCCAAGGGCTCCTTCCTGTCCAGCACCCCAGTGTCTGGGTTAACAGTTGTTAAAATACACCTGCAATGACAGCACCAAATCAATAATGGCTTCTTACCATAAATCTCCATACATCTGTATAAAAAAACAGACTCAAATGTTTACCTGGCACAACATACTGTCCCTTTCATTTCCACATCACCAATAATAACATCCTCCCAGGTGTCCTGAGGGAAGGTAAAAATTATGCATATATTAGACATATCCACATGCAATCATTTTTCCAGGAGGGGCACAATCATTCCTAGAAGAAACAGTACCATTCCAGGTGATCACCTTCACTTGTGCCTTCAAAATAAGTACACTGTATTATGGTACTATTTTAATGAAAACCCTGTGGTCACTGCACTCACTACCAAGGTAAGGGCCTACTATTAACTATATCTGGAAAGAAGTATATACAAGTAATAGATCCTGTTCTGCAGTGTGCACTTGTCTGAACCTAAAGCAAGCTTATTCTTGTTGTATGTGTGATAATCTGATATACTGAACTCTAGTAAGTCACCAATTTTACAGAAAGGAAATTTTTAGTAAGTGAAGTAAGTTTTCACTGCTCATCTACACAAGCTTCCTATTACAATCCCTCTTGGAACACAAAAGCCCATTCCCACTTTAGGAACTTCTTAGATGTGGGAAATAATCAGATCTATCCAGAGCAAATTCTTTGGAAGAACAGTAACACAACATATAAACATGCAAACACCACCATTCCCCATTCACTTCACCACCAGATACCTTCCTAGATAGTGTTTTTTGAACTACCAGAACATTGTCAGAGATGCAGTGACAGACCCCAGCATTGCACAGGTCAGTTTTCCTCTCGTGCCAAGGAAACACTGTGCTATAAAACATCACACTGTGGTTAGTTTACTAATTGTTCATCTATATCATTAATTGATCAGTTACAGCATGCACAGCTTTCCCTAATTTACACTTAAAGATGAGCTTTCAGTAGCAAGCCTGTCATTTAAACACACCTATTTTATACTTTGCTAAGGTAAGTAAATGCTCACAGACCTGTCTCCTCCCTCAATGTTTCACTGATGTAAGCAGATGTAAGCAGAACTGTATCTCTCTGAATCCAGTTGTTAAAAATCACAGAACAGCAGCTTTCCTCCTCTTTGTAGACAGAAGTAAACAGAGTTACAAAGAAACACAGGCAAGCTTTCAAAAGATATCTAAGACAGCTATTTTACCTCCTCAAAAGCACTGCAATCTGTCACAAAAATATTTGGCCTGAAGTTCTGTATCTTCACTTTCTTCTCCAGCTTGGCATTTAAATCTTCCAATGAAGCTTCTGAGATAACCAAGATTGGGCTACAGTCAGGATAAGCAACCTACAGAAACAAACACAAAGAAATCCCAAGGCTCTAAGGCTGCTGAAAGAGCATGGAAGGAAAGATTCTGAATGACAAAAAGACAGGTATGTTGAAACCAGTGGCCACATACTAGCCTGACTGTTAGGCTGCTGCATTCAGGTTTTAAATTTTCCTGGAAGCAGGTTAGTAAGTAAAATAACACATCCTTTCCTATTTCAGAAACCATGGCAATTTGTGTTTGCTCAAATTGTAAAATTAAACTTCTACGTACAGAATTAAACCAAAATTATATAAGCTACCACCGCTTCTCACAAAATAATACCACATGCATGTCCCAGACATGTATTCTAGTTATTACAGACAGACCTAAATATATCAATAAACCACATTATAGCAAGTTATGAAAGGTACTTAAGACATTTAGGGACCTGCTGAATATATAATGAATTTATGTTCTCACAACACCACAAGGGGCTTCGCATTACAGAATAGCAATGCTATGTTGCAACTGTCCATTTGTCAGTTTAACCTTGTAAGGAAGAGGTCTGACATTTTAGCAAACAAGGCAAATGAACTAAATATATAAATGTATGTTTATAAATAATTAATAATAAAATAATAAATCATAAATATATATTATATACAATAATATGTAATTACATATTATATAATAAACAATATAAATAAATACATGCTTATTTATAAATAAATGAACTAAAAGAAAACTCCAACATATGCTAGTTCCACAGAAAAATAAAAGGAAAATGCAGGCCTCCTCCTGTCTTACTCTTATATTATCCTTCCCCCCTCTTTGTCTATGCCTTTACAACCACAAGAAGATGAGTGTTGAAATAACTATATAAACAATTCTGCCCTCTTTTCATGCTAGGATTCCTGAATGTCATCCTTCCTAATCTGACATCTCTTTTGCCGAAAGCTAAACTTCTGCACTGGTCTCAGTGCATATACATAATGTTTATATATATTTATTATTTACATAATAAATGCACATCTATAAAAGTCCATAACTGAATGTGTCTTCTCTCTCTGCAACAACAAGCAAAATCACTGCCCTGTTGATAACAACATCACATCAGTAAGGCAAGGTTCCCACCATTTCCTAAAAAGGCTTACATTCATCAGGTACAGTTCAAACCACCTTCATGTGAGAGCATTTTTCAAACAAGAAGGGCATCAGTGGCTCCAATGATATGAGGATGACTGTGCACAGTATCTCCTTTCCCTACCTGCTTTAACTTTCTCCAACATCACATCTCCAAGCCTCTTCCCAGTGAATGAAACCTCTCTAACCTTCTTTGGATTTTAATTCTAAGCCCACAGCTGTAGATCCCTTGGTTAAGTAATGTTCCTTAAAACAAAATATGAGGCAACACAACTCAAATCGGTACACTCCATGACCCATGTAAGGGATAGGGAATGGAGGTTTTCTATGCAACACAGACTGCACCATCAAAACATCTTTAAAAACTTACTTTCATTTCTATTAACTGAAGCACAAAAGGAATGCTATTCTGCAATGCAAGAGTTCCTCTTCAAATATCAGTATCATACTCTTTAGCTGTTAATGGTCAATAGCTTGGAACAGATTTAAAATAAAATTTAAGCAAGCCATCCCATCACAGAAAAGGAGAACATTCATGTGGTTTAACTACATGACTACATACCTTGCTAAACAGTGCTCAGTCACCAATGCTGGAATGGCAGGATTTGGTGTGTGGGTGGGAAATGATTAAAAGAAAGTACATTTGATAAAGAAATGTTCACTTACCTCATCTGTGGTTCGGAAAAGATTTATTATGTCTTTTGACTTTCTTGGCACCATGGAGGGCTCAAAGTGCACCAGGCGATATGGCTCCGAATTCAGGAAAGTGGTGATCCACTGAGCCACTTCATCTCCACAGTCCCTGCCTTGGATATCCAGTCCAAACACCCTGAAGAGTCAGAAGACACATCAGCAAGCGTCTACTCTTGCATAGGCACATCACTGCAACACCAAAAGATTTCTGTCCAGAAATCAGCTGAAAGGTAACTAATTTCAGAAAATGAATGACAGTTTCAAATGATGTGGTTTGTTACTGTCACTGACATTTATAAGTGTTATTAATTGTAAATATCCCTGACTATTAAGGAAGCTTTCCTTCAGATTTTAGTGCTGTAAAAATTTAAGACAAGCTGTGAAACTCTAAAGCTCAAACTCAGCATACAGAATAGCTCAGTATCTTAAAAGAGATGTTAAGATTTATAATAGAAGCAAAGTCCACGGGGCATAAAAAAACATTGGCATCAGAATACAAACAAGTTTATACAGGGAACACTTCCCTGGCAAGAAAAGGTAAACTTCAACTCAACCTTTCAATAAACTTCAACCAGCCAAGAACAGTTTTAACTACTCTCTTCAAAGTAGTGATTTTGACCCAAATGCACTGCAGTTCCCTCTACCTTTGCAATCATGCTCTGGCCAGCTTGAAGGATAGAGATGTCCAGGCAGTTCATCTAGGCCAAGCCCAGTTCCTAGGACCCCTCCTTTATTCATCTGGGGAAGAGATAAATCAATAGTGTGCTGCCAGCAATATCCCTGTTCTGTTTACTGGGATCCCTGTATCAACTGTGACACAGGCTGGGATTAAACATTGCCCTAGACCACGTTCAACTGCCTTTCTCTTCCCTCCATTCTCTCAGTCTCTGTTGCCTTCTGGTTTGAAGGACAATGGAGGTGGGGATCTAACAGCTTCCAATTAACTGTTTTCTACCCACGAGGCAGATGTATCCTGAGTGGTCAGTGGTATAGGGATCCATGGGACTAGATCATGCAGTGTAAGTATTGCAACACATACTGACAAAGGGCACAAATGAAGAACACGAGGCTTCAGAACCAGAGAAATACAGAAACCCTCTAACATTTGATCAAATAGAAACTTTGCCTACACAATGGCTTCAGTCCTACACTTCCTTATACTAGGAAGTCCTATACTTCCCCAAACACAGGTTTCTTAAATACCCATGTAAAATCTGCAACTGGATTTACCAGTTTTAAAGATTAGCACAGCCTTTTACAGCCAGATGCACTACTGCACTGCCTTACCTTCACAGCACCAGGCACAAGCCACCATGAATCTGAAGGCATCTTGCCTGCCCAGTGGCAGAATAAATACAAGCCTGCGCAGAGAGCCTTTGCCAGCAGAGCATACTGTGCTCCCACTCACAAGCTGGAAGGGAAGAATCCAGGAGCAAAAGCCAAATCTCCATTTGCTGCAACACAATACTATTCCCAAACCTCATTCTTATGAATGGCTGAATGGATCGGAAAGAACCAGCCTTGTTCTGACAAATGGCAAACCTCAGGATTCTTTCTCAGGGTTTCTGTAGCCCTCTGGTTATGAAGTACAAGGCAATGTTTAACTACAGGCATTGCTAATTTCACAGCCTATGACACCACCCAACTTGGTAAATTTCAAAGTCCAACTGCATGCATCTAACTTTGGCTTATTTGCATTCCCAAACTCCAGCAAGTTTAAAACCAGAGAATGCAATAGTTTATTAAGGAAACAATAACAAAGAGAAAAACAAATCGCTGAGATCTGAAACTGGAAAATCCAAGATAATCTGTCATTGCTGAAACATACTTAAGTCTATTTAAATATTTTTCTAATGGCACAAGTTTTAGAAAAATAACACATTGAAACTAGCATGATTTTGTAGTGTATGTGTCACTGGCTAATATATAAGCCTTACAGGGAGAGTTTTGAAAGATCATTCTATTTCTCCATCTGAAATGCAATCGTGTAACTTGCACCTGGCTTGTGTAAACAGAGGTACAAAGCTATGCTGCTCAAGGGTTTCCACAGCAACAGATTTATGCCAAAAGCTAGCCCTTCTTTCTCTGCTATACAAAGGAAAAACACCAGTATTTTTGTAGGAATCAACACCATTTACAGTTACTAAACAGACATTTTCAAGAGAAAATGTTTCATGCTTCCTCCTGCCCATTTTCCAGCATGGATTTCAATACACAGATAGAATAACCAGGCCTGCATTCATACAACAAACAGCAGCTGAATGACTGTGCCTGTAACCTGTTCACCTGAAACCCCTTTGAAGTAGCACCTACAAGGAATAATTTGCTCTCTGGGGATGCCAGTCTTTCCCCCATGAACACAGCGTGAGCCTCCAGCAAGCAAGTTTTCGATTTAGGCACCTTGGTTAAATGCTTACAGGTAGGGTGAGGGAATCTAAACTGTGACAATTCACCAGTTCCAAACAGCCAGTGTGTATCCAAAAATGCTGATGCATATACTAGTGGTGACCAAAAAATACCAACATGCATGACTGAGGCTCGGAGATGCAACTACCTACCAGAGCAAAAACGAAAACATTAGAAGTAAACACAAATGAGTAATCTATGAAGACTAAAGACCACCGTTCACTTGGCAGATGTATATGTATGTATGGTTCTGCATATTGTGGCAGCGTTTCCCAAGATTTGTTTTCACCAGTGTTTAGAAGATTAAAACAAGATCTTTTGTTGTGACAAACAACCCTGGCCTCCTGCATAACACATGGCAGAGAATTTCACAGAATGGTTTGGGTTGGAAGGGACATTTAAAGGTCATCTGGTCCAGTCCATCCACTAGACCAGGTTGCTCTAAGCCCCATCCAACCTGGCCTTGACCACTGCCAAGGATGGGGCAGCCACAGCTTCTCTGGGCACCCTGTGCCAGCGCCTCACCACGCACACAGGGAACAAACTCTCCTTGTGGCTAATCTAAACCTACCCTCTTTCAGTTTAAAACCACCATCCCTTGTCCTTTCAGTTTAAAACCACCGTCCCTTGTCCCTTCAGTTTAAAACCACCATCCCTTGTCCTTTCAGTTTAAAACCACCATCCCTTGTCCTTTCAGTTTAAAACCACCATCCCTTGTCCTTTCAGTTTAAAACCACCGTCCCTTGTCCCTTCAGTTTAAAACCACTGTCCCTTGTCCCTTCAGTAAAGGCCCTGATCTGAAGCCTCTGTTACACAGATGGGGAAAACAGACCCCCCAAACCCAGAAAAGGAGCACCCAACTTTCACCCTCCAATTTCTGTATAATAAATGCAAACCATCACACAGTCTTGAAAAACAAAGCACGTAAGTGAGAGGCAGCACTCGGGCAGAAAAGAGTGGAAAAGAGTACCTGCAGTTCACCACACGGTTCTTCCTGGGCAGCTTCACAGGCAAGCACAGCTTCTTCATTTCTGGCGCCTCCAAGGTCAAGTGCCCATCCTCAGAGCTGACAGAAATGAGGACGAGCCGGGGCTCCTGCCGAGCTGTAACCATGTGCCCATCCTCCTTGGTCACAAGCCAAAACCTGCGCCGCGATAGCGGGGACAGAAAGACGTCCAACAAGGTTAAAGGCCGACATGAGGCAAAGAGAACTCCCGCAGCCGGGCACCGCAAGCGCCTCTTTGTAGGCCTTAAAGGAACCATATGAGAGACGCAGGGCAGAACCGATCCCCGCAGCAGGGTCTCGGAGAGGCCCAGCCCGCCCCGCCCCGCGCCGTACCGTACCTGTCCCGCAGCTCGCCGCTCCGCAGCCCCATCGGCGTCACCTGCGCCTCCCGCACCGCCATCCCCCGGCACGACTTCACCGGGTACACGAAAATGCTCAGCACCGTCCCCACTCGCTGCAGGCGCCGGCGGCGCCCCGCCGCTCGCCTCAGCCCACCGACCCAGCGCCATGCCCCGATCAAGGCGCTCAGCCCCAGCAGCGCCGCCGCAGCCCCCCAGAGCCAGCCCGGCCGCGGTGCCCGCACAGACAGGCCCAGAGCGCTCCGCGGCCCACTCATGGCGCCCGGATCCCAGCGGCGGCGGCGCGGAGTCCCAGGGGGCCGGGGCCAGGGGCGGGCCGTGGGCCGGCAGCCGCCCACCTCCGGCTTTGTCGCTCTGGGCGCATAACGGACCGAGCTGCGGCTGCGGGCGCGGCCCGCGGCCCGCTGGGCCTCGGCGGGGCCAGGGCCTTTCGTGGAATCGACTCGGAGGCTGGTCTGTGTAGGAAGGGACCTTAAAGCTCTTCCAGTTCCAACCCCGTGCCACGGGCAAGGACGCTTTCAACCAGACCGGGTTGCTCCAACCCCCTGTGTCCAGCCTGGCCTTGAACACTGCCAGGGATGGGGCAGCCACAGCTTCTCCGAGCACCCTGTGCCAGCACCTTGCCACCCTCACAGGGAAGAACTTCTTCCAAACACCTAATCTACCCTCTTTTGGCTTAAACCCATTCCCCCTTCTCCTGTCACTATATGTCTTTTTTAAAAGCCCCTCTCTTTCTTGCCTTTAGGCCCTGGAAGTTGCTCTAAGGTCTCCCTGGGGCCTTCTCCAGGCTGAACAAGCCCATCTCTCTCAGCCTGTCTCCAGAGCAGAGGTGCTCCAGCCCCCAGAGCATCTCTGTGGCCTCCTCTGGACTTACTCCAGGAGCTCTTTCTTCTTGGTGGGAGAAAGAGTGTGATCACGGTGTGGAAAAAGTGGATGTTGTCAGTGTCCAGCTTGCCAAAATACAGGCAGCAAAAGCTTTTCTTCTAATATTTGGGCTTTTATTAGAAATGATGTTACAGAAAGAAAGTATGAACTGTGTGGAAATACGTGAGTATGTGAAATTCAGCCACTTGGTTTGGCTTGGTTAAGACGGGGGAAACACATAGCTGGAGGTGAAGAGCCAAGGGGGAAGGCAGCAGATGGCAGCACCTGAGGTTGGGGTGGGGGATCCCATTCCCATTTGGATACCTTGCTGCCTGGTGCATGGTGCCTGGTGCATGGTACCATTTGGATACCTTGCTGCCTGGTGCATGGTGCCTGGTGCATGGTACCATTTGGATACCTTGCTGCCAGCTGCCTGGCACCAAACTTGTGAGACTGCCTCTGAGAGCTTCCGTCTTGTCAGCAGGGTCATGGGGAAGTCACTCTGTGGGACACCCAGCAGTGAGGCAAGTATTGTAGAACCACAGAACTGCAGAAGGGTTTGGGTTGGAAGGGACTTTTAACAATCATCCAGGCCAGTCCTCCCATTAGAGGAGGTTGCTCCAAGCCCTGTCCAGCCTGGCCTTGAACACTGCCAGGGATGGGGCAGCCACAGCTTCTCTGGGCACCCCGTGCCAGCCACCTCAGCACCCTCACAGGGAAGAACTAATATCTAACGTCTAATCTAAATCTCCCATCTGTCACTTTAAACTCATTCCCTCTTGTTCTATCTCTCCTTGTAAAAAGCTCCTCTCCAGATTTCTTGTAGGCCCCCTTTAGACAGTAGAAGTTGCTCTAAGGTCTCCCCAGAGCCTTCTCTTCTCCCAGTTCTATGATGTGACATCACAACAGAGGCTGGAGTGGAGTGTCCAATGCCACCGTTGTCACAGGTCTATCCTCACAGGCAAAGCAGGAGCATTGGCTCTTGATCCTCCCCAGCTTCCCTATTCAGCCTTGCAGTGAGCTGAAGGCCAAACTCATAACTCAAAGTTTTTAGGATCAGTGTGCCAAGACCAAAGTCCCAGCAGGCAGAAGACAGGGAAGCTCAGCACTGGGTGTTTCAGAGAGCACGAGTCACGATTTCATTTCAGAGTCACAATGGATTACTGGAAGCAATATATCGAGAGCATCCTGGTGGACAGGATCGTTGAGGATGTGGCTATTGTGGGCCTCTCTGACAACAAGTGTGTTTGGGCAGCCAAGCCAGGAGGACTCCTTGCAGCCATCTCACCTCAAGAAGTGGGCTTGATCACAGGCCAGGATCGGAAGATGTTCCTGCTAACGGGAATCACCATAGCTGGCAAAAAGTGCAGTGTGATTCGTGACAACCTGCTGGTGGATGAAGACAATGTGATGGATGTCAGAAGCAAAGGCAATGACAGCAGATCCATCTGTATTGGCAAGACCCCCAGAGCCCTGATCTTCCTCATGGGCAAGAAGGGAGTCCACGGAGGAGCCCTCAACCAGAAGGTCCATGATATGATTGTGGGCATGAAAGTGTGAAGCAAACAGTGCCAAAGAGACAGACATCTTCTGCCTGGGCACGGGACATACAGGAGGGAAATAAACCTGATTTTGTTGCTCATATCTTTGCCTGCTTCTATCAACTTTGGGAAAGGGCAGGAGCCCTCTTGTTTACTGCTTTGCTGTTTAAATCATGCCCTAATGCCAGTCATGGTTTCTGAGACCTTTCTCCTGCTACAGTAGGCCACAGCACTAAGGTTAAGCAGGGCTTGTGTTTATTTTGTGTTTGGTCCTGGAACAAGCCCAGTTAATTTGGGAGATTAGCTGTTGATCAGCAGAGTCTAGGGCTGCTGTTGGACTGTGAGGGAGGCACATGCAGTGATAGTCTGCCACTGCTCACCTTCCAGATCATTCAAAACACCTTCTTAGGTTTCTTTACTGATCCAAATGGGTTTTCATAAGATAGTTACCTGTCTGGTGCGTATGGCAGGGGGATCTTCTGAAGGCTGATTCCTTCCCATCTTGCTCAGTCATGCTGTTGTGGCCTCAAGATCACAGGTCCCTGTAAGCCCCCTCGGACTCCCAGGAGGATGCAGAGTTGTGCCGAACACTGCAGATTTCCCGCTACATTCACCAATGCAGCCCTGCCCTCCTTGTAACCCTAAATGGCCAGTCTGAAATGAGGCAGAACTGATGTGCTTGAGATGGGACAGGTGCAGGGAAGACTTGAGGGGTATTTCTGTTAGGGGTGATCTCCCCACGTATGGGCTCTCCTTGCTCCTGGTAGCAGTGAGCCTGAATCCATCACGTGCCACCTTCTCAGTTAACATGGAGTAAGTGTTTTGTAATTGAATTGAGATCACACAGAGATCTTTAATGTGCAACTGCACCCAGAGGAGCACGGAAATGCTGTAAGGAGAACCCGGCCTCTCATGTATTAGCAAATGTTCAACAAAACTGCAGTGTTTAATTAGTAAGCACTGTCTGATGAGCAGTGCTTGCAAGCATGAATCGAATTAACATAAGTACTAAAGGGATAAAAACACAAAACCACACACTGAATTCACAGTCTAATGATAAGTTGGTCACAAAGTTTTAACAAAGCCTGGGCTGTGCTGACAAACATGGATGCTTATTTTCACAAGCTTAAGGGAAAAACAAGTAGCTATCTCCTGTGATTTCTTGAGCACTGGTAGTATTCTCCACTATGCAAATCACAGAATGCAGACAGCTTTTGCCCTCTAAACTTTATGAGGCATCAAAATGACAGGATTTTGGAATAACATGAAAAAATGTTGGGCGATTTTCTTCTTGCTCCCCTTTAGGTGGCAGAGAAAATTGGGCTGGAGTGCCTATATTCTTTACCAGCATGAGAATCTGAAGAATTATGGACCTATATAGTGTGACGGCGGTGTGAACAGCTACAGCTGATCCCTAACTACATATTATGGGCAGAACAATGGTGTACAAAATCAGATTCTTTCTGTTTGAAGGACTTGTTAACTGAATTCAGAAATAACTCACCTTTGGTAATGATTGAATATTATCTTAGAGAAAAAAAATAATTCTAAATGCAAGAAGAACCTTGCATTTTCATTCCCTAAATCTACCAACCTGGAGCCTAAGGGGAATTTGTTCAGACCAGCACCAAAAAGCAGCTCTTACATTCAGTTCTGACTCTTCTTGGAGGCTATGGTGAGAAGGAGCTTAAAGAGGAATAACAGAAGGCGATAGCATCTGCATAATCTCTCCTTTCCTGCTGTGATACAAGGAGCATAAGATTATAAATAGCTTCAGAGAGAATCTGGTTGATGGGTTAATGCTTCAAGTCTAAGACTGCAGCCTTTGAGGAGAGCCCCCTTCACCCATACACCAGGCACCTCTCAAGAAGCCTCCAGTAAATAGCTTGACCAATAGGTTTGCTTAGTCCTTCATCCCAGGCACACCTCTGCTTACCTAAGAGCCACCAGCTCCTGCTGTACGGCAACATAAATGGAGCCATTCAGACAAAACATAGGCACTGCTATTGTTACCATCCAAACAGCCCCTGGTGTGACAGAACTGTATTTGCTGTACACGGTAAACCAGCATTTAAAGGGAAATGACTGTGGTCAATCACTTATAACTTCATAACGCTGAAATACTGAATACAGCTCTAGCCCCAGGGTCCTTGTAACGTGTCTGATCATATGAAGGATTCACAGTGCCAATCCCACAGCAAGCTGGGGCTGGGCTGTGTCAGTTATGAAAGCAGGCAATGCTGGCGTATGTTGGAAAAACATAGTGTCAGCTCAGAAGCATCCACATGGCAAACTTGCAGCTGGAACACAAGTTAAAAGTAATGACATATCTGCTTTCAGATGCAGAGGGAGATGGTTCTTCTAGAGTCAAATCTAGACTCCCTTCTAGGAGCAGCTCAATCAGAGGATGGACATGAATAATGAGGAAAGAGATGAAGGATTTTACTTGTTTCCACTAAAATAAAAAGACAAGTGACTGGGGAACTTGTAGGTCTTCAGCATGTGCACAGTGCTGACCCTCGGAAAGGCATAAAGTACCATCCTGAGGGGAGATCTGGATGGACATTACAAATTCCCAGTGATAAAGACAGCAAAATGCTGGTCTAGATTAAGTGACGGTGTGTTTGGATGGAGCTAATTAATGTAGGCTGGGCTTGTCTCAGTGAAGGAATAGGGTTAAATGCCCTTTTCCAGAGATGTGCAGTTGTTTTTCCAGTGACTCTGTGATAACTCAGCAAAAGGCAAGGATGAGGGGATGACATGGCTGAGTATGCTGTTTCAACATGCTGATTTCAACAAGATAGGATAAAAATTATATTACATCCACTCACACAGGGAAATTATATCCTCTTCCAAACTATGAACTAACAAATTCAAAAGGTTTGTTTGTAGAGAGGAAGGGGTGATAAAAGCATGGCTGTTTCCTCTTAAAATCTTCAAGGAGATCAGAGTTCAGTGAGTCATGCACTAGAAATGAGCTCAGTGAAATATCTCAGGCGAATAATTGGTGATGATAGAATTAAAAATAGACTAATATCATTAATGATAGATGCCTTTTAATGGAGCCACAGCAATTAGATAAAGGGATCCTTCTTTTTTTTTTGTGAGGCTTTTCCTACACAGAGAATCATAAATATGTAAAAGCCAGGCAGGTTGTTGGCTGCTTTGTTGACTGTCAAGTCATGTAAGAAGACGAATTGAAAATTGTCCTTTTCCTCCAGTCAAATGTTCAACTTCAGTCTTTCTAAACTCACCAGGACAACACAGAAATGGTTGTTCCAGGCAGATATTCAGCCTGGTATTAACTAGTGCAGGCTAATTACATTATAAATTCTCCCCATGTTCTGTAACTGTGGTTCTCTGGGTGAGTCTAATATCCATCAGGCAGCTTCAGGAGTATGAGTCGGGGTAGAGATGCAGTGTCATCTGGGAAAGCAGGTAAGGCCCAAAGCAGAGGCTTTACTGGGGGGCAGTGCATTTTTTCTGCAGCACAAGGATTAACATGCTTCTGCAGCTATGGTTTAGCAGCCATCATGGGAGAGGATGGCATTCACCAAAGACAGGAATGTCCCCACTCTCATTCAAACCCAGCTGAAAAAGCAATCATCTGGTGCTAGCTTAGCATCCCAGGAAAGAAGGAGCAAGAATTCCTTTATGAGCAGCAGAAATAGGGGAATACAAAAAAGCATGAGGAGTCAAGTACATGTGGTGTGCTGGAGCTGGGGTCCAAGGCAACTCCTGGCTCCTGGGAGAGGTCATTCCAGTCTGCCCACCTCTGTGCCTCCTTCATTAGGAATTACACATGCTGTCTTAAGCAGTTATGATCTCTCCAGTGGAAAAGTGGCCATGGCTCATCCCCTTCTCTCCCATGAAGCATCATTAATGAATGCTTTTATTGCACAGCAAGAATCTCAGGGCAAAGTATAATACATTTTTAGGCAGGGAGGCAAAAAATATCCACAACAACACAAAAGCAACATTCCTATGGCTTTGCTCTTGAAACAATTGTATGCAGGAGGGTCAGGATTCAACTGGGTGGAAAACACTGGTGTATAGATACACATTACCAGGCTGGGAGCCAACATCCTGAATATGGGTCTGCACAAACCAGGAGGCCAGCCTAGGGGAGGGCAAGAAATCCCTGCAGGAGATGAGGCACAACACCGAGGCTGGGAATCTGATTTTTTCCCAGGAGATGGCACTAAAGGACGATTGCCTTTCAGCCCGCATAGTGCAATGCAGCAGGAACTTCACTGAGGGCCAGGCAGGCAGTTTGTGCCACCTTTGCAAGTCGCTCCTTGTTACCAGAAGCAAAGCTTTAAAATTCTTAGCGTCTGTACTTTTAGCAAGGTTGAGGACATCAGTCTTTACGTCTCCATAGAGCGGGTAAATACAAGATTTCTGCTTATAGCAGGAGCAGGATCCCACTATTAGGTATTGAAAAGCTGCTGTCAGGTCCCTCCTAAGCCTTCTCTCCTCCAGCTGAACAAGCGCAGAGCCCTGAGCTTTTCCTGGTAGGTGATGGTTCAGTAAGGAGCATCACCCTCTCTGAGCTCAGCCTAGACTTCACCTTAAAACAGGCCCGGAAGCCTTATACTACTTCCTACAAGGATAATGAAGGGGTGAATTTTATTCCTTTATTTTCTTTTCATTTGATTATCTCCATTAGTCTCTGAGCTCTTTAGGCTCCTTACTGGTCCTTGAAGACAAAGGATTTCCAAAGCATACCCTGTGCAGGTAACTGCAGTAACTTGGTACACACTTTAGGACCATTTTTTTCTCAGAAGAAAACCCATGGCCACCTAACAAGGAACCCATGGTACAGAAAAGGAGACAACTGGTTTTACAGCACCCCAACACAGAACCTGCCCCCTTGCCAGTCATACAGACAGGCAGAAGACAGGAAGGTCACCCGTGTCCATAGCAGAGGTTTGGAAAAGATGGTCCTTTCCAACCCTAAATATGCTATGATTCTATGATTCATGCTTGAAGTGAGCCTTGGCCTGGCACTGGAAGCAGCAAAGCAATGTGGTGTTGTATGGCTTTCCTCAGATACAG